CCCCAGGGGAGCCGCGGAGCAGATCCCCCGCCCCGCCGTGGCTGGGTGGAGGGCTGAGGTCACCGTTGCCGTGGCGACAAAACAGGAAGACACAACAGCTGGGGGAGTGGGGGCTCCAGGGGCCTGCTCTCCCCGACATAGCTCTAGAGAACTCTCCAGGGAAGGCCGTTGCCACAGAAACCCGCATGTTTAGGGTTTGTTTAGGACGGAGCCCCCTAGTCCAGGTCCCCACCCCCAGTCTCCGCCCGCTCAGTCCCCGCTCTCCTCTGCAGCCCCCTCCCTCCGCGGGTGCTGGGCCCGGCTCTGCCCGGGTGGGTCGGAGCGGAGACACCTGGGGCGCCGGGCTGGGGGGGCTGGGGGAGCAGGCCCCTCGGCTGAACGGGGCCTGCGGGCTAAGGGCGTCTCTCGTCCCTGGAACAGAACGGCATTGAGGGTACCCATCCTGGGCTTTAAGTGTTCTGGGCTAGGACCCCTGACACCTGGATCCCCGGAAACAAATGCGAGATTCCTTTGCCTGGGGCTCTCCAAGGAGCAGGGAGGCCCCTCCGCCCCACCTACGCTGGGACCTGCGGCGAGGGCACTGCTGGCCGCGTCCTGGGATGCAGAGGGGTTGGTTGCAGAATTCCTGGGGCCTAGGGCGTAGGGGTTGGGGCTCCTGGGTTCGGCATGACGCCGAGGGCCCAGGTCCTCGGCTCCCCCAGCGCCTGGCTTTTCCGAGCAGATGTGACGAGCCGAGCGCCCGGGTCTGGGAAGGACAGATATTTTTGGCACGCGTTTGCTGGCGCCTGGACTCGGAGGGATTCCGAGTCTTAATGGGGACGGGGCTGGGGCTGGGGGCTCCGGCTTCCTGGGTCCTGCAGGAGAGGAGGGGGAGGCGTCCAGTGGCCGCTGTGCCCAGGCCCCAGCGCGGAGAAGGGCGGCAGGGCTCGCTGGAGGGCCGTCTCTGCGGTCCTAGCAGACTGACGGAGCCAAGGGGGCAGAGGAAGCTGAAGGTCGGGATGCCCGGCCTGGACAGAGGCAGGGCGGGGACCCGGGTCGCCTGGCTCCTGGCTCCCTCCCTTCGGGCTGCGCTCACTCACCGCGCTCCGCTGCGGGCCCGGGCGCGGCCTGGCTGGGGGGCGCCG